GCCTGTAGCTGCTGCATTGGCCTGGTTCTACAGGGCTGAGACCCAGGCTGGGGTCCCAGGAGCTGGGGCAGGGCCTGGGGATACCCCCATCTCCTCACCTGGGTGGGAATGAGTGGGGTGCTCCCTGGCTGCCTCTCTTATACCCCTGTGCTGCAGAAGCTCCTCCCCCTGGGAGGTGGGGCACAAAGCCCTCCCCCAAAGGGGTGGAGTTGCACCTGGGCTGCCTTATTTAAAGGGCCGGTTCCCCACCCCAGCCTATTCCCTGATCCCTCTCCCAGCCCAGGAGGAGGTGGCAGTTAGGTAGGTGATTACTCAGACACATTAGCATATCGTTAGCATCTCAGCCATTTTGGGATTCCCCAGAGGAAGTGCAGCGGTTAACCCCTGCGGCGCCAACCACATTCGAGGCAGCACTGGGAGCTTGGATCTTCCCTCCCTCCACTCTTTGCCAGCTCCTGGGCTTGGTGTGCGCCCCATAGCAAGGGCTTGACGTTGTGGTTCTGGCTCCCTCCCGCAGACCCAGGCACGGGCGACCTGTATGAGATGGACTCCTCGCAGCTGGTGAGCGACAAGTCCCCGCTGGAGGAGCCGCCTGACATCTCAGCCCTGACGCCTGCTGGCTCCTTTGCGCTGCTGGCGGACGACAGCCAGGCCTCGTCCTCCTCGCTCTTCGCCAGCCCCCGCTCCCCACCTGTCCTGGGGGAGTCTGTCCTGCAAGGTGAGGCCCTGCCAGAACCAACCAACCCCCCACCCCCCCAACACACGTGCACACATGTCCGATGCGCAGGCAGCACTGCTCAGTGGCTGGAGCAGCAGTGGAGGGTTGCAGAGGGGGCTCTGCTCCCAGCCTCTGCCTGGAGGACATCCGGCCACACAGCACGTCCTCCTCCCTCGCTGCACCTCCCTGTACAAAAGGGTTTGGGAGCGGGGGAGAGTCCTGAGAGGCCCCTAGTGCCTGCCCTCCCCATGCTTTGCACTCTGGGGTGCAGCTGGATGCCACCCCCTTGCCCACCCACTTGTCTACCCCCTCCCCAGACAGCAGCTTGGACTTGAACCACAGCAGCGACCCTGGCCCAGAGGAGCCGGAGCCCCTGGAGCTCGACCCCCCACTGGCACCTGAGTCCCCAGCTCGGTCCCCCTCCCCCGAGGAGGAGGAAGAGGAGGATGAAGAAGCAGGTGATGAGGGCTGCCCAGAGGTGTCTGCTGTCCCTGAAGCAGACGGTGAGGAGGCCGCACCGCTCAGCACATCAATCAGCGGTAAGCACCGGGGCCCCCAGCACAGCCCACCCCCCCGGACCATGGTAACTAGCACATGTCCTCTCCCAGCAGCCGAGACCCCGCGCCGCCGCATTGCAACGGAGGAGGAGGTGCGCTTCCCTCTGCAGCATGGGTAGGTGCTGCTCCTGGGCGGGGGCCAGGGGGAGCATGGGGGAGGGGAGCTGGCACATGCTGAACTAACGGGCTGTGATGTGCAGGTGGCGCCGGGAGGTGCGCATCAAGAAGGGCAACCACCGCTGGCAGGGAGAGACCTGGTACTACGGACCCTGTGGCAAACGCATGAAGCAGTTCCCTGAGGTCATCAAGGTAAGGCTGGGCTGGGGGCCTTGGGGGGTCTTTCCTGGCACTAGCACTTTGGGCAGTTTCCAGAAGCCGGCAGCTGCAAATGCCACGTGCTGAGGATGGACAGCACTGGGTTCCACCTCCATGGCCCATTCCTGTGGTTCTGTGCTCTCCTGCCAGGCTTCACTTCTCCCATCAGCCCCTGTCAGGTTGTGGGGGGGGGGAGCTGTCCCCAGCCTGCAGCCCTAACCGCTTCCCCCCACTGTTGCCCACCAGTACCTGAGCCGCAACGCAGCGCTGGCTGTACGGCGCGAGCATTTCAGCTTCAGCCCTCGCATGCCTGTCGGAGACTTCTATGAGGAGCGTGACATGCCCGAGGTGAGGGCTGAGGGATTTGCAGGGGAGGGGGCTGATCATGGAGCTCAGTCTGGCCATTGGGTGGTGGGGAGGGGGTTGCAACTAGTTCTGGGGGCTGCAGCCCTGGGGATACTTGGAGGAGGGGGGCTGGGAGACGAGGCTGGAGCTGTGGGGGGTCTGGGCAGGGGACTTTGCAGTGGTGGTGGGGCGAGAGTAACCTCCCGGCAGGGCTGACTCTGGTTCCCCGGTCCCAGCAGGGCCTGCAGTGGGTGCGGCTGACCCCGGACGAGATCCCCGCCCGCATCCAGGCCATCACGGGCAAGCGTGGGCGCCCCCGCAATGCCGAGAAGGCCCAGCCCAAGGACCCTCCACCCACCAAGCGAGGCAGGGGCCGCCCCCCCAAGCTCTGTATGCTCGACCTGCTCAGCAAGACGGACGCCCGGCTGCTCCGCCGGCTGGAAGCCCAAGGTACCCTCCCGTTCCCTCTCCTCTTCCCCATGCCGGAGCCAGCCTCCACCTGCCCAAGTGGCCCTGTGGGCTGGCAGGGCCTCTGCTGTGGGGCCATGGGTCTATCCCGCCACCAGGCCCGAGAGAGGGCTACCCCCACCCATGCCCCAAACCATGAGCAGCAGATTTGATCCCTTCCTCCCTCCTCATTTGCCAGAGGTACTCAGTGATGAGGACAAGCTGAAGATGAGCAAGATCAAGAAAAAGATGAGGCGGAAGGTGGGTGTGGGGGCTGGAGACAGCCTCAGACACTCCCCCCCATTGCTTCCCGTGTTATGGGGCCCTGGTGTCATCCCTGTGGTTACTGCGGAGTCCGGGTTGGGATCTGGGGGTGTTGCAGACCCTGGGGCTCTGGACCTGGCGGTGCTCACTGCCAGCTGTAGTCGGTGTGGGGGGACTCTGTGGTGCTGCCCCCAGGGCTCGGTAAGGGGGGCCAGGCCAGACACCTGAGCCCCACTCATCCCCTCCAGGCGAAGAACAAGCAGAAGCAGGAGGCCAAAGCACCCAAAGCCAAGGAGGCCAAGAAGAAGGGCAAGGTGGGTGTGAGGATTGGGGTTGGGGCAAGAGGGGTAGTGTCCGTGGCTCTGACTGTTGCTCCGTCCGTGTGCCACAGGCTAAGGAGAAGCGGGGCAAGGCGGAGAAGGCCAAGGAAAAGCCACGGGCCAAGGACAAGAAGGGCAAGGGGGGGCGCAAAGCCGACAAGGTGCTGCTGGCTCAGCGTCGGGCAGAGGAGCGGCGCCGCCACCAGAGCATCCTGGAGGAGATGAAGAAGCCCACGGAGGATATGTGCCTGGGGGATCATCAGGTTGGCCACACACTGCAGAGGGGCGGAAGGACTGTGGGGGGGGGGGGGGCGCTCGAGGGGGGGGGAGGATGGTGGGGGGGGGGGGGGAGCTCCTGGCTCTGACGCCCTCCTTGTCCCCCTGCAGCCCCTGCCCACCTTCTCCCGCATCCCCGGCCTGGTGCTGCCGAGCACTGCCTTCTCAGCCTGCCTGGCCACCGTGGAGTTCCTGCACAGCTACGGCAAAGTGCTCGGCTTCGACGTGCCCCGCGACGTGCCCAGCCTGAGCGCCCTGCAGGATGGGCTGCTGGGGCTGGGCCAGGGGCCTGGCCAGCTGCAGGACCTGCTGGTGCGGCTGCTGCAGGCTGCGCTCTACGACCCCGGCCTGCCTGCCTACTGCCAGGTACAGGGAGGGGACAGGGACAGTTCCCACGGAGGGGGTGCAGCTGAGACGTGTGTGTGCCCACGTACCTGCATGCATGTGTGCGTACTGGTGCAGGTGCCTGTGGGTGTGTCTGTGTGCACGCATGTCTGCCCATGTGTGTATGTGCAAGCCCACGTGTCTAACACCTCCCTCCACCCGCAGTCTCTGAAGATCCTGGGGGAGAAGGTGTCCGAGATCAGCCTGACACGGGACACAGTCTCTGAGATCCTGCGATGCTTCCTGGCGGCGCACGGGGCGGGGGCGGAGCTGTGCGCGGGGCTGCACACGCAGCCCTTCCAGGCGCTGCCTCCTGAGCACAAGGCGGCCGTCCTGGCCTTCCTCATCAACGAGCTCAACAGCAGTGCCCTCATCATCAAGTAAGGAGGGACAGGGGGCAGCAAGCCACCCAGAAGGTTTAGGGGTGGGGCCTGTTGTGAGACTACGCATCCCAGCATGCATTGCTGCATCCTGGAACCAAGGGCAGGGCTGTAGCAGTGCATGGCCTGCTGGGATCTGTAGTCACCCTGGGGTGCCCTTGCACCCTGGGGGGGAAGGAGGGGGGGCCTGATGGGTGGACAAAGGGGGGCTGCTCTGCTGCATCCTAACCTCCCCCACCCCCTTCCTCTACAGCGAGATCGACAAGACGCTGGAGAGCATGTCCAACTATCGCAAGAACAAATGGATCATCGAGGGCAAGCTGCGCAGGTCGGGGCCCGCGGGCTGGGGGAAGGGGCAGGGGGGACTATCTGTAACAGCTCAGCTTGGAGGGGGGCAAGGAGGTGGCATGGGGGCTCAGGCCGGTGTCCTGCAGGCTGAAGCTGGCCCTGGCCAGGAAGACTGGGCACGTTGAGGGTGAGCTGCCAAATCCAGATGAGGGGCGGCGCCGGCGCAGCTCCCGCCTCACAGAGGAGAACAGCGGCCTGGAGCCGGAGGAGGAAGATGAGACCCGGGGCCACAAGTCCCGCAAGGAGGAGGAGGTGACACAGCCGGGGTGGGCGCCGGGGTCAGGGGGAAGTGCGGGGAGCTCCCGCGAGCACCAGAGCCAGGACTCCTGGGTTCTGTTCTCAGCTGCCGCCTCACTTGTCCCTTCCCCGTGCCTCATTTCCCCATTTGGGCAGCAGGGTCAAAGGCAGTGCCCAGGGGCGCCAGCAGCAGAGCCAAGGGGCTCCCAATCCCCTGCAGCCTCTGACCTGTTCCCTTCTTCCCCTCCCAGGCTGAGGCGTCTGCGTCCAGCATCCCCGAGCTGGAGCGGCAGATCGAGAAGCTCACCAAGGTGAGGCTGTGCTGGAGGTGGTGGGAGCGGGGCGCGGGTGGCTGGGCCCCCCCACCCACTTGCTCACAGCCCCCCTCCCACCTGGCAGAGGCAGATGTTCTTCCGGAAGAAACTGCTGCAGGCATCGCAGACACTGCGTGCAGCCTCGCTGGGCCAGGACCGGTACCAGCGCCAGTACTGGGTGCTGCCCCACCTGGGCGGCATCTTCGTGGAGGGCACTGCAGGCGCCGCAGGTCAGCAGGGTTGGGTCCACCTAGGCGGTGTGCACCAGGGCTTCAGTCTCACTGGGGATGGGGTTCTCTGCTGGGGTGCGTGGGGCCCCCCTTCACCCTCTCCTTCACTCTCCAGCCATGGACGATGCTCCAAAGCCAGAGCTGCCGTCAGACGAGGCACCCCTGCCCCCCGCGGTGAAGCCGGAGCCCGCAGAGACGCCAGTCAGCGGCCGACCCAGCTGTGCAGCGGCGCGGGCGCGGGGCCGGCCCCGCAAGAGCCGGGAGGAGCCGGTGGGACCCCCCCCTCAGCCTCCCCCCAACGGGCTGCTGGAGGAGCCGGGGCCGGGGCTGGGGCTGGGCCAGCACGATCTCACACAGTCGGCCTTCCTGTCCTGGCTGAGCCAGACGCAGGCCGCCCTGCTGCACAGTGCCGTGCTCACCCCTGAGAGCAGCCCCGGGGCAGGGGGTGCAGGCCCCCCCCCTGCCCCATCCCCTGGGCCCGAGGACAGCACCGCCGACAAACCAGGGGGGCCTTGGCTCAACCTGCTGCCCCGCATGCCCTGTGCCGACACCACGGGCTCTATCACTACCTCCCCTCCGGACCAGCCCACAGCCCTGGGCATGCAGGTATGTGGCAGCAGGGCAGGGGGCTGGGTAGGAGGCAGCAGGGTCTTGG